CACCTAGTTATAGAGAAAAGACGAAAAAGACGCGGATCCGCGTCTTTTCCGCCTTTTTCCGAATAATTAGGGTGGGTATTGTATGTCGAGCTGCCAATGGTCAAAGACTCCAGGGTAAAAATTATGCATAATCATGCGAACAGAACGGTCCTTCAGATTCTTCTCAGACAGGGTGACCTTTTAGATTATTCTCTGGGCAATCAACACGTGTATTCGAAGGCAGGTGCTCGAATTTTCGCAACTCCACCGTTAATGATTATACAGTATCAGTTTCGTGCCGTCGCTTTCTACAAGTGACGCCAAGGGAAAACGTAGAGGTTGAATCTATCACTACACATTCGCAGAAAGCTCTGTTCACCATTCAACAGCCAACAACTGATTGAACCGCCTCGCTCCAGGAGACATCGGCCTTCGAAGTTACGTAAAAATTTTTTCCTAGTCTGATTGTACGTAAAAAGACAAACGCACTACGCAGTTGGAAATGAGATAGCATCGCTAAACGCTTAACCAATCAATCTCAGCACCTCTCCAACGTGGAAGGTGGAAGATGTGTGAAACCGTCTCAAATACTTACAGAACGGCAACGCGCTCGAAGTTTCGTTTCAGGGCTTAGTTAGAAAACGCTCAACCAGGCTGTTTCCAAGTTGTTCATCCTCCGTTCTCCGAGAAAGTTGCACTCTTCGGTTCTCGCTCGCTTTGCTTGCTTTAGCATCACCATGTGGAGAAAAACTCGTAACTTGTTGCTACCTGGAAGTGGAAGTCAACAAATTTTTGGAGGCACAGTTTCCCGACTTCTGACAGAATTTACCAGCGACCTGCTCAAAAAATGAGGGAAGGTTGTTGCTACCTCTTAATCATATTCACGCTATTGAAGCTTTCTTGTCAACCTAACAAATGTTAATGTAGCACACGATAATGGCAAGTTGATCTTGACAAAGGTCGACTTGTACTTCTCGATGTTAATCTTCGGCAAACTACTTACTTTTTCGAGCGAAAAAAGGTGGACTGAATGAAGACGTAGGTGAGGCATTTTCGCTTCAATACAAGAAGTAGGAGAGTGACGCTGACTATTAACGCAGTCCAATGACAGACAGTCGATAAGACTTTCTCTTATTGGACTAGGTGAATAATGCCCAACCTTTCCTTACTACTCTACAGTATAGCCTTGCTTTTATGCAAACCTATAGCAAACAGACAGACGAACTTCCAACAAAAGCGTCCCAGTAGGTGTGACTGTATAGCGCAAAACACGGCGAGAAGTGGAGCAACGCAGTGATGCGCGTGAGTCGCAGAGATGTGATAATGTGTATACTTCATAAACGCATTTTTCAACAAGGAAAAACGGGTAAAGCTGCTGTTACATCTTAGGAAATTCTAGAATGGACAGTGGATGGATAATGTGAAATAGAATAATTGACAATTATGATGAAAAAACGGCTAGGGTAGAACAATTGACCTGATGACCAAGTTGTTTTCGGCAAGTCTACACGAAGTCAAGTCCGGTCCCGAGAAGAAGGAGTTTTTGGCGCAGCTCCTCAGAGAAAGGTTGCGATACCATATCAGTGAGCCCTCGAGTTTTTTCTTCGGCTTCTTTATAAATTGGAAAGAAAGAGGGATGGGAAGCAACTGTTGTTCATAGCTCATTTCCAATACATCAGAAGTGGTGGGGTGATATATTGCTCTTCCTTCCCTGCAAGGAATGAAGGAAGGGAGAAATGCATACATCACCTTGCTTTCTTCACGTTCCATCTCGAAGTATGACTGTTTCTGCAGTCGTTTTTATTATGATGTTTTGCGTTTGTATGTATGTAATATTGAACCCAGTGCTGTGTTATCCGAATATAGACTTTGTGGTCCTAATGTAATGTCCCTCGAGTAACCCTGCCGAGATCTTGATAAGGTCTGCACAAGCAGCTGTCTTCCTTTCGGAAATGTTAAATAAAACCACTGTATCTGTTTTATTGAATCACATCGCGGTCGGAGCTCTCTATAACATCTGCTCTACGTTAAGCCTCTCTAGTAGTCGCGCTTTGCCGACTGCTCTAAAGCTTCGGTTAATAGAAGTTTCAACTAGTTTGAAAAATCTTGAAATTTGGCCGGTGAATTCCTCTTCCAATGAGTAGTTCGGAGAAGAGAACGCATGCGGAACCTTGTCTTAAACTCCCCTCTTCAACATCCGTCAAAGTGGTTGGGCACTATTTTTACTGGAAATAAAAAGTGGTTCACTGACCTAAATTACATACGGAAGCACCGGTGGCTGTATTTATCATAAAAAGCTGAACGGCCCTCGAAGTCAGATCAATTCAGTAAAAAGGTCATGTTGTGTGTTTAGTGGGACGGCCGTGAAGTGTATTTCTTATATTCTTTCACTTACTACGTCACGGTTACGAGCAAGATCCACTCTAGCAGATTATGAACTTTTGCGGAAAAGCCTCAGCTGGCCTCAAATATACTTACTCCGCGACAATGCATGAACACGTGTCTGGACGACGACACAGCTCGAGTTTCTAAGCCTCGTCTGGAAAATTTCTCCGCGCTTTCCGTACAGCCTGATCTAGCAACTACCACCTATTCTTGTTCATGAGCAGCCATCTTGCTGGTACAAAGTACATTTCATTAAAAGGTTTGAAGAATAATCTCATTGTCTTTTTCAACTCGAAATTGCTGGCTTTCTGAAGTTGAGGCAACTACTGTCTACTACTTGTCTAGTCGTTGGCAACGAGTTGTTGATAATGATCGTGTATATCCTCCCTATATACAAAGTGCTAACTTTGTGTGTCTGTTTGTATGCCCGTTTGCGTGTCCTCCCAGAAGTCACGTAGGCACGTTCAAAAGCGTGAAGATCACAAGAGCGCGGTGAGAAAACAATTATGAAAGGAAAGCCAATCGATGCTCTTTATATTGGTATATATTGATTAATATCCAGTCTATTTATGACGTCACGGACTAAAAATCTTATTCGCCTCCCACGACACAGAACAATCAAACCCCTACGAACTAGAGGGGGTCAGAATAGAAATAATTCCACGATCAGCTCTTAGGTTCAAGAGAACAATAGCCACAAAGCGGCATCAGATCGTTCAAATTGTTGAATATCACCTAATTCTTATACACCAAACCTTCTTTTGACTATTTATCGTCGTGCTACATCCCTGCACTATGGACAATTCATCTATCCGTCCGCAGTCAACTGAGGGTGGAGAGAGGTTAGGCTTCATGTGCAAAAAAAAACCTTCTGTTCACGAACGAATGATTTTTGCAGGAAATACCTCCGGCATTTGACCTATTTTCCAGACTAGACGCGTAATTTCTCATAGAAACAGTCGGAAATCCATAGAAGTGCATAGAAATCTAATATTGTCGAAATTTCTGCTTTAACTGTAAATTTCGCTCACAGATGCGCACTTCAAAAAGCTATCCACTTTATAATACTTCAGTGGCTGGATCAAGGTTTCCCAAGTTTGAAACTTAGACGAAATCCACGTGACAGCTCATCATATGTGAAGCACTGGCATCCAATTGTTTGTTTGCTCGTTCAATTGTACAGAAATTCGATATAACCTTAGGAAGCACCTGCATAAGCCGGGTCTTCCCACTACATATGTACATCTCTTTCATTATTATCTGATCTCATCATTTTCACAATCAGCTCGAACCGACGCTTATTGATATGAGAATCCTTCCTTCCCGGTGATGATTTTCAGGACAATCATTTCAAGTGTGAAAATATACTTACCACGTATAAAGCGCTCGCGTTTGTGTGTCTGTTTGCGCGGAAATTCGATATCACCTGATAAAATACCTGCAAAACTTTCAAGCCTACGCATGAGCGGTCGTAGACATACAATGCATGCATCAGCATGCGTAGCTGAACTGGTATTGTAATATAATGATCTTGCATTTTCTTGAAGTAAATTTTGATATGGAAATAGTAGTATTTCCCTTCAACATGCTGTATCCACCGGTGAAGCAAGAAGTATTTGGCACCTCTTATTTTACTCAGGGCGGAGGTGATGTAGTGGCAAGTGGCGCACTCTCATGGTCACGGGTTCAAATTCCAGATCGAGATCTGCCTAAACCAACCAAGCCTTCCATTCTTCTGGGAACGGAGAATTTGCACCCAGACTCGTCTGAGAGGATAAACCCTCTGACTTGTATATCGGCTGGCCACCGCAAGTCATTGTATAGGCCTTACACGCATTTATTGCGCCATCACGATTCTGAGTGGAAGTACGGTGCGGGGCGCGTCCGCCAGTGGATTGATTGACGCTAGAAACTCTATCCTTATCCTTATTTTACTCGCCCCCCTTCCGTCAGAGAATCTCCGATTTTCCCTCTCGATTCGAGCGCACTCATAAACGATATCTTGAGGCACGGGGTCCCTGATCTTTTACAATTATTTTTTTGTCGGGGACTGGTTCGAGCAGGCTCATAAAAACCACTCGATTTTCAACATCTATAAAAACTGAGGTGTAAATTCACCAATCGATGTGTGTCTCTGTTATCTATCTATTTTGTGATTCCTCACTTTAAATCATGAAAACATGATACATTATAATAACAATTTTACAAAAAGAGACACAATCAACCAAAAAGGTAGGGCTGGTCACAGAAATAGTGCTGTTTGCTGATGTTTTGGCTTTCACATAGGAGGAGTGGACATTCCAAGGTTTAGCATTGCAAATATATGTAGTTGAACAATCGTAAAGTATTGCCATGTGTGGTACAATCATATACTTTTGCATTATGCGGAATTTGAAGCAGTTTTCGTTCCATGTGAGAAAATGAAATATTACCAATTATTTTGGTTTGGTAGAGAGTACCGCTTTCCTTAAAGATATTGTGATATTAGAACAACCTTATATCTTCAACGAAATAAGAAATTGTGTAATTGGTTGGTAGGTAATTTTCCCAACAAAAGGTCAAGTAAATTGTAATTAAGGAAAACGTGTATCAATCTTCTCATCTTGAAGAGCTTTGGCTCATTCAAATATTGCCCTGAGTGCAATACATATCGTGTTCGGTGGCTCTTCAGCATGGAAAGGCTTACCATCTCTTCAGGAAATGTTTGCCGTGGCTATCAGCCCTTGTACTAGGGTTCTGAGCTGCCACGTCAGTGTGAAGTAGCGCAAGAAGCCGGCAGCTGCAAGATAAGCACGCGATGTTATGCGGTTAATTGAAGAAAAATAATTGGAAGAGAAGAATAGAAGTGCTGAGCGAAGCAGTGAAGGCAGGAAACACCATGAAATTGAAGTAGAACTCACATCGAAACAGTAACAAAAAAAAGTCACACAGAACCTTTCTGATTTCCATGCCGAAGCCGGCAATGCTAGTGCGTCGTGGAAGATCGCATTGCACCAGTAAAGACAAATCTAGGTTTCAATTACCTGGGAAAGCTTACGCATACATCGTCAAAATCTTTGTTTAACTATACACGCAGTGTTTTTCTGTCGGGATGCAAAGAGCATACTTGAAAACGAGTGTGAAAACACTGCTCTGAGAAGAAAATACAAGAATGGATGATACGTGCGTGAGATGGGTAACATCGCTTAGCCTGCCTGCTTCCTATAATCTTTGGATTTGTTCGAAGAGTTCGCTCTGAGCAGGATCGGTAGAACGTTGAATGAACAACAGTCGTATGAGCGAGAAGGGTTTGACACAATACGACCAGTCGTATTTTCGTCGCTGATTTATTGATGCGATACAATAATACTTACATGTATATTCTTATGCTTTACCTTCATCAAATAGCAGGAGGTGTACTGAGCCTTGGACAGCCAGAGTTATAAAACTCTGGAACAAGTATTTCATCCTTCCACAAGAAGGCTATCACAGGAGAATTGAAGTTTTGTGAAGACGCCTCTGAAAGCACAGTTCACGAAGAATTTGGGTTACCCATTTAAAGCCAAATAATGTAAGTGATGGCGCAAAATAGTGGATCAGTGATGAAGAACTTGCGAATCACTGTGGAATCAGGGAATATAAGGTTCCTAAGAAGAGCTAAAAATAAGGAGCTGTACGGAATCTTGACGACAGAAATAGCATAGAAGTGATTTTTTTTCGCGATTTTGATTGCCATTGCCTAGTGATTCCAGTGAAAAAATTCCGAAGGTTGCCATCCACTGACCTCATGAATTAGGTCTGCATTCATTCAAACTGCATTTTGAATCTTTAATGTTATTCTCTACTATTGCTAGTTTGTTGTTGTTGTTGTTGTTGTTATTGTTATTGTTGTTATCCTTCTGTTCTATTACATGTTCTTTTCTCCAGAGAGCTTTTTGGATTTTCAAAATGTCGGCTCCAGTGTGAATGGTACAGCCTCCTCAGGGCAACTGAAGCACTGCCACATCAGGGTGTAGCATTCAATGTTGACGATTTGGGGCTTTTACTGTGCCTTATGTGAGCCAAATCTAACTGCTCCCCAAATGACATAATTAGAAATCACAGATTCTATAGGATAATCTCTGAAACCATTCCTATCATAAACTGTTCCTTTTCGCAGCACAGCTTTCATGGCATATCTTAGTGTACTATGCACAACTCATTTTCGTGGAGGACTCAAAACGTAAGTGGGTTTTGGTAATGATGGAACCGTACAAAATTTGTTAGGCTTACCTCGCATGAATTTCTGGAACAGAAAAAATGGTGCTACAACCATGCCCCATTCACTTTGCAAATGCACTCAGCTGTGGTGTAGGGCTGGTTGCTTCACATGTTAGTAGTAGAAGTCGTTTTGTTGATAGTGATTTTGCTCAAGATTGACAACGGCGAACTTCTCATATTACATTTGCGTTGAGATGGGGATTTTTCAGAGTACCGCTTTACCGTGTCGAGTATAGCAACGCCATCGACATGTGGTTGGATAAATTCGAGCGCACCAAAGGGCCGCTAACCATAATGAAAACGGATGAATTCAGAGAAAAAAGCATTAATCAAATCGCTTCGGTTCGTGAAATCAGTGCTGATGACGTCATAGGTCATCTTAGCTTACGAATTTCAGGCGATACGCAGTCAAGTTATAGAAATGGCGTGTCAGCACGTTGTTATCGATAATCTTCAATTCCTCGTCAACCAGACGACAATGAATGACGATCACTCAAGCAGCCAGGATCGTTTTCACCTGCAGGTACATGATTTATGCTCAAGTTTGATTGATGAATTTTATTTGGTGACTGAGCGCGTGGGTAAAATCGTAGGTGAGATTTTGTTAAGGAGCAGGTCGCACCCAGTCAGAAGTATTTCCGAGTGCGAAATTGTCATGGCTTTCTGCCCAATCTTAGCTCTGATTTGAAATAGTTTATATGAAGTCAGGGCTTGGTAACAAGAATAGAAGTGAGTCTTTGGTTATTGAACTCAGGCGACGATGCATAATTCGTCTATGACCAGGCTTTCTAATCAATAATGGATACATTGTTCGCACACGACGAAAAACCAATAGTTTCATTTTTTTCCTAGAAATAATCCCCCAATTTACTGAATAGGTTCAAAAGCAATCTATTCGTCCAGATGACTTTACGTTTTTTGCTAGTGTTTTTAGTTTTTGTTTTCAGTTGTTACTGTTGTTATTTCTCGGCAGAACTGAGAAAATCGCAAGATTGACGATACATTCGAGATTGATTGTAGGGGATAAAGAGGAGGAGGCCCGGAGAACAAGCAGTTCCAGGGTCAAAGTTTTGCCTACTACTTGACGATCATGCGAGGTTTTCGCAGTTCTATCCTTAGATCCGCAGCTATGTGGCCACGTCCTTTTTTCCCTGAATTTTGTTTTTATTTATGTTATACATTCTAACTCCTGCATTTTCAATCACTTGATTGGAGAAATACTCACAAAAATTAAGTGAAAGCTCAAGCAAATATTGCGTTTCACTCACGACAGACTTCCTTCTTCGGAGACCATCTGTAGAATCTCGATGGATATGAAGGTAACATCACACTAAATCTAATGCCCAAACATTCAACAACCCAGTGGGAGGTAACCCACGCTCTCATTCAAGCAACATCTCACCATTCAAATAGATTGGGATTACCTATCATAACAACTGCGGTAGATTTTCCAATCAACTGTTGGAAATGGGCGCTCATAGTTTAAAAGAAAGTGAGCCATAAACACCTTGTCAGTTATGTAGCAGATAGATACCCACCATTAATATAGCTGTATCACTATAACAAAGTTTCCATAGCCTCACCTAGAATTCAAATGCCCAACATCAGGACACAAGCTAAGTATGAGTTCTACTGACTGTCTACCAACTAGACAGCAATCTGATATTGAACGTTGCAGGCTAATAGATACCAATCGATATCCCTCCAGCGAAATTTTTATGATGTTAGCCATGTCTTAGCTATGTTCAATCAATATCAAATTCCTCTTCCACAGACTGCATAATTTGCGCTACACACACCAATTCCAACATGACATATGCTCAAAAGCTGGCGTAGCAATCGTGTGCCGTGATGTAGCCTAGCTACATAGGCCGTAATGGATTACTGAACTACAGTGATAATTCCAGAAACCACGTAAGAACGAGTAATATTGCTGAGATTTCATAGCAAAGCTTGCTGCTGAGCAGGTGCTTGCTCGAGCACCCTGGACAGGAATAATGAATTATACTACTTGTCTACTATCACTAACAACAAGGGAGCGGATTCAATTCGATGACATAAGCAGTATTTCACAACCACGGTGTATAATGTTAAAGGACAACCGTCGATCTGAAAAGCGGTTATCGCTAACGGTTATTCGCATAATGTGGTGGCAAGTAGCGCACTTCACACATGGTCACGGGTCCAATCCCGGACCAATATCCGCCTAAGCAAACCGAGCCTTCCATTCCTCCGAGCTCGCTTAATTGGTACAAGATTCGTCTTTGAGGATAACAGCACTGCCTTGTTTATCGGTCGGACACCGCAAGTCATTGTATTGGCTACAATGCGCCACTACGATTCTGATTGGAAGTTGAATGCGTAGGCGCATCATTCAGACGGGATATATTGGCGCCTCAATACTTTATCCTTTATCCTTATCTTGATTTGATATCACAAAGTCATTGGTCACGCGAAGTCACTGATTTTGAAGATGTCTTCAAATGGAAACCAGCTAGAGTTGATTCTGTAGTACAGTTGACCCCACCCACCATGACCATCCTCGCCCAGCACAAATGTGGAGAGGAAAAAGAGACCCATTTCAAACAGTTGCAGAGTACTATATAAGATTACGGAAACTTTTAGATTTTTCAAGAAGTAGGCGAAATATTTATGCATGCCCAAGGCCCATAACGGGGATGGGGGATGGGCACCACAGAATTCTGCGTTGAGACATCTTCGCTCTGATATACTAAGAAGAGTATTGCCCAATCGCCTGCTTGAACGTCGTTGCAGAATGTTGCGCAGTTGGTGAAAACCAACCATCAACTGACTTCTGACGGCAATGTTGAGCGCTTTTATCATGGGCAATGGTTAGTCGAAGGATAATTTCTCCCCTCTTCTCGGGTATAGAGACACAGTACTGTAACGTAGTATTAGAGAGTACTCCGATTGATACCAACTTGTCAAAGAATGTGACTATAAACAAAGAGTTTTTCATCATTTACAGTTCAATGTTATGATACTGTCATCGTTACCCATCAATTGTGCAGATGCAAGGAGCCAAGTCTTCGTGGTTGATCATTGTCCTGATAATTGCATTGTTTTTGTGATATTATACTTATTACTTTAGACAATCCTTTTGAGCAACTCTTATTAGCTTCTGAAAAATGTTATCATCTAGGTTTTTACATCGAGTGCTGGATCCTTCGACTTTATACTTTTTCTCAATACTTTCCTACTTCTCATTTTCTGTGGAGGAATGCCTCCTATTAGCTTGTGACTGGATTGATTTTACTCCATCATGTCACTTATCCGTCTTCACCATCATAACTCTTTCTGGAACGAGCATACTTTCACCTCAATAAGATCCATCCAAGATTCTTTGAGTCTTTGAGCGCAATGGACAACACATTCGCCCATCGTTCCGCACGACTTGTCTGGCTCCTGTTCATCGTGAGCCCAGTGGATTTGTCGACGTCGCTGAAGTCCTCCACCATCTGCTGCAACTCCTCTCAGCTCTGACGTCTGCAAAGCTGGATTAATTCTGGCCGTCGATGTCTATAAATCTATCATCGCTGCCCAGTCGCAGCATTGCACGGTCGAGTGAGTTGGTGGATCTATTAGGAGAGATCGTGTCACTCTGCTCGACTCCTTTCTCAATCGGCACCAGCCCTCGTTGGAACATGCGGTTGGTGGTAAAAGTAACTGTATTGCATTGACCCAGCAGGATGAAATAGTTTGGGTCGATGGCTGCATGGTTCAATGCATTCCAAACACCGTCGAGCTCCACATTGTCGAATGTCTCGCACAGCCGATGAAGCAAAGAAGTGTGTTGAGTGTGTGAAGTAGGAGAAGTGTTTGTATTTTTTGATCCAGTTGCTTTTCGAGTCTGTTTGGAATAATCTTCGTGAATATCTTGTACGGCTGCGAAGAGAAGCGCAGTGAGACGGTAGTTTTCAATTAGTCGCGCTAGCCTATCTTGAACGAGAAATCCGTATTTGACATCTTCCAATGGTCCGGAGTCCTCTACTTGTCCAGTCACTCAGTATAGATTTGGTGAGCTCCTTGATGACTAGTAGAGCGCCGACTTCAGAAAGTCCGCCGAGATGTGGTTCAGTCCGGATGCCTATCTCGGCTTCATCCAACGCAGAGCGTTTTTGACTTCCTACTCCTCTTTATATGAAGTCACCTCTTGAACTGGTGTAGGCATACGAGAAGTCGGTATCGTTGAAAGGAAGAAGTGCATGTGGAAGGTTTTCTCCGTGATCTCTGCATGATCTCCGTTTTCTATGTCTACATTCGCCCATTGCGTCCCTCACAACCGTGATGACCGAGCGGGAGTCATTAATGTCCTGACGACATCGTTTGAGACACGCTCTCGCTTCTGCCGTTCCCTTCAGTCGGGTATCTTTGTATCGTTGATGACTCTCTTACAGCGATGTGTCACACTTTGTTAATCTAAGCACGTTCCAGTGGTGCATTTTCACCGACCCTGCTCTTGGAGCTCACTCTTGGCACTGCCGATGCTATCGCACAGTGTAAAAGTCCTACTGCAAGCAAGTCGTGATTATGTGGCAAGTCCTGTACCTCCTGCCACGTATATTAAGCAGCGGTCACCTCCATGACGATTGTTTTATACTGTGCATGTCTTATGGGAGAAAGTCGGGAAAGGTTTCGTCTTCGAAGTTTTGTCTGTCGGCGGGTCGATCTCACTGCAACTGCAAGCGTTGGGGCTCTCAATAACCACTCTCGGCCCCGCTTCCCACATAAGGGCCGCTCCCGTGAAGGAGTTCGCATAGATTCACAAAGCCCATAGAACGTTCAACTATTCTGTTAGTTTCTCCGATTCCGTGTGGTTCTATGCGCGCTGTCGGTAGTCTCTTCTCGTGGATGATTGCGCTAATACCTCCAACGATGTTCTTGTAGTGCTCGTTTTTGTCCTTATCCGGTTCGATGATAGACTAAGAATCCGACTCCGCCGATGTTTCTTCCATACACCTCCGCTGTGAAGCGAATGGGTAGCCGTCACAGGTTTGCATAATGCCTGTTTTGGTTTTCGTCCCTTGAAGGACAATGAGTCGGAGCGCAGATGACGAAGATTTTTGCTAACATTCAAGGTGATTCGGTAGGCCTTTGAGGCAATGATACGACAGTCGTACGGGCAAACTCGTGGACAGTCTCTTGTCTACAAAACCTATCAGGCCGCCATTTGCTTCAGAGCACTTCGAGCTCGTGGCTTTCATCTACATATTGTGGCTGATACACCGATCCTCGGGTTGCTGGCTTAATGATTCAGGGGTTTAACTCCACTGTCAGTCGTGACTTCTCCCGCTTGGCCAACATGCCGCTTTGCCGCTTTGAAGCCAGTGGTGTGGACTGGGGACGGAGGGAGGAGGAGGGGCAGGAGAGGGAGGGGGAGGGGGTGTGGGAGGGATAGTATATCCGAGAATGGAGCAAAGTCTAATTGTTTCAGAATTATTTCAAAATGTTTAACATCGAAATTACCGTATTGAAAAGAGTCATGTGTTGTCCTGTGGATACTCAGCTAGGTTAGATCACAACAAATTACAACAAGGCTGAACTCAGTGGTATAAAACACATTGAAATCAGAAGACATGAAGTGTTTCGCGATTTGCAAGGGTTCAAAATCAGGAGACTGGTATTTTTCTTCACTAATCATCTGAACTTACGAATCGGTCGAGATCCGAGTGAATAGTCGTCTTCAAGGTTTTGCACTTTCTTGAAGACGACGACTTGCTCGATATAAAAGAAAGTCTTGGGCTTTGTTGGGCACAAATCACGATTCTATTTTGTCGTGATGAATCTATTTTGTCTGTATGAAGACATGAATTTCATAAGTGACTATATTACTTCCAGTAGCATTTTAAGCAGATCTGTGTGAGTGTACTCACATTGCTCATGGCAGCTCCATGTTTTAAATCAATAGAAATGTCCTGAAGATCGGCAATGTATATTTCAAAGTTGTTACCATTCATGTTCAGGAGCTCGTGACTCATATTAGACAGTATTACCAATAGACCACCATGTTTTTATATTTCCTCCACGTTTTTGTATAAAATGTGGTAAATAATGAAATGCTCCTCGATGCAACTGGAAATGTTATGTAATTCAATAGAAGTGTGTTTTGGGCTATTATTAGAGGCTAGTGAACATGAGGTTTACTCGATTTTCATGAAGCTAGGGTAATACGTGTATTCAGGCAAATCCGTGTTATTGTCTGCAGCAGTACTGTTACAATTACTCATCATTCTATGTTTAGCAATGGGCTCCATTTTGTTGCACGCTCGATATAATTATAGGTTTAATTTTTTTTCATGGTTTTGGAAATTTCGAAATTGTCTTACGTTATTCCCATATCTTTCATCGGTATCGATGGATGATATTCTCTCATGTGACACCTTGATTGTTTCTAGCTTTTTCTAGAGATAAGGGTATAACTTTTTGATATTTCTTCGAAGTGATGAAGTGAAAAAATTTTATGAAGTCGTAATGCTAGAGTGTTTCTTGAGCAAACCTTTTGATTTTTTGTTTTGAAATTTATCTAAACACTGATAGGAACCATTTCGATTCATTCGATTGAGACATGTTTCCGAAGACTCACTTCCTTCACGAATCATATGTATGTCTATAAAAACATACGTTTAATACCTTTTCTGGGTACACCTGGTTCTACCCCGCATTCATTTTTTGTGGTTCTTTTCGGGTTTCATCTGTTATAAGATTCGAATCACCCGTGTTGACACGGCCATGATTTTGATAAATGTATTCATTACATGATCCAGCTCTGCATATACATTCTCTAGTGGAATAATTCGTGTATCTCTTGTCTATGAAATTTATAACGAAGCATCATAATTATATATCTAATTGAAAGCCGTCTTAGGCTTATATGTATAAGTGCTATTTCTCAAAGAATATAGTCATCGTCTTAGCCGCTCCAGTAGCTGATGACCATATCATAGTATTTTGTAATCATTTGGTTTTTAATGTTAAGAAATAAAATTATGTCAGAATGCAAAAAATCAAGTGTAGTTGAACAGCTATCGTTTTTTTCAAGATAACCCTCCGTAAACCTTCTTCGATAACGTATAGGTAATAATGCATTGGTTTTTGAGACCTTCTCCTAGGTTAACACTATTGGTTCGGTAAGAAAGTCTCAGACCGCTTCTTGAAAGTTTCGATTCCATCGATTCACGATCGATACCCATGATCTGCCAGATGGCAGTTGCAGATTGGTTTTGAGGCATTCCCACAATAGGTATTTAGTTTTGCCCAGTTGCCTCCCCTACGTTCAATCATGAGATGTCAATTCGACACAAGCACCTCCGAGCCATTCCTTCTATGGATGACGGCCATCACTGGAGCGATGGCTACCTTCCCTTTCACTGAAAACGCATTGAGTGACATGCGCTAGCTCTTTCGATACGAAGGAGGAGACACGGCCTTCGAAGTCATACACCAGTTGGAAGCACCACGCTGTGAAAGACTCGGCATTCTCAAGGCTGTCAAAGAGGACCCGAGACCAGCACTCACCATCTTGCAACGAAGCTCGTCTGTTCCAAACCAACCGTTTTCAAAAAGACATTCCCCGAAGGGATTTAGAGGAAAAAAAACCCCTGTAGAACCCCAGCACAAGTCACGCAAGAATTTACATCAGATTCAGCAATAAATGCTCTTCATTGCTGCATAATAAACTCGTACAGATTAGTTAAATTACAATAAAAAATGGATAGATTTGATTGTAACAATGATAATTTAATTAATAAATTCTTTTGAGGTATTTTTGCTCCTGAGTAGGTAAGCCTCCGAACTGGTGTGAAAGCTTGCTGGCAGAATTTGATTCGTTCATTTGCAGTTCGGTAGGTACACTTGACAAGATTTGAAAAGCAGCTGAACGCTAAAGCTCTGTATGTGCTTTAAGGTAACCTGAAAGGGGATTGGAGCCACACTGAGGAGGTCAACTTCAAAAACGTTGAGCAACAACGCAACAGACTGCCAACGTAATTGTGATCAAAATTGCAAAACGAATAGACCAAAATGCAGAAAAGTCAAGGAGAATCATCAACGGTGAAAGCGTATAAACAAAATAAGGAAATATAGGGAGAAGAAAATCAACAATGACCACAAGATTGATACCTGGCCAAGTTATTGACCCACCTACTTACGGTTCAGACCAGACTGAGAGCAAATTGAACTCGACTAACTGCCACTGTGGGTGATCAGCTCGGCTTCAGTGCTTAATGATATCGGTTAGTCTTTTGAAGGCCACTCGTCGATTCTACAGTGAGTGTGACCATTCTCATGACCGTTATTGTGAAAACAGATTGAAGAAACTGAAAAAAAAGTGAAGAAACCTACTAGCACACAGGGGACCAAAGAAAAAATAGGACTAATAGAAAGGAGAGTGAGTGATTTCAGAATCATAATCACGGCTGATAAAAAATGCAACAAAGATAATAAAAAACACCTGTTTTGAAGCGAGGGTTAGAAAGTAATAGTAGTGATGAAAAAGAAAGGAGAC